TAACATAAAGTTATTCCTCCGCCCGGGCTACAATATCATCAACAAAAAGGCCTTATAATATTGAAAAAAGAAAGTAGCTTAGTTGTACGAAAGAGACATTTGCCTTTCATTTACATTATCTATACTAATCACCCCCATTCCCCCATTTGTCATTGTTTCTTCTTCTCCCCTTTCAATAATTATTATTTTTTAGAAAAAAATATTAATTAACTTAAATACACCACCTAACCGTATTCTAGAATGAAAAGTTGTTGGTGTTTTTCGTGATTTGCAATTACTCGTCTAAACACCTTTCTCACCATCCAATAATGCTTCACATGAGCACACTTCTTTACACAAGTCAGCAACACGTGGCCAGTGTTATAGGCTGTAGAGGTTGCCTCGGTTCATGAAAGGAAGACCGGAGAGATTATTATAAGAGCTTAGTGCACGCCAGAATCTTTTTTTTTTTTTTTTGGGGCATAGCGGAGTTGCTTGCTTTTCAAGTTTTTTTAAATAAATGTACTTTTATTTATAATTAAAAATTAGTTGATCTTTATTCTCATATGTAACGGGGGTAAGGGAGAGGTATGATAGTAGGTTGCTCCCAACGTCAGGTTGAGAGCAGTTCCGTAAGAGACCTCCGAATTATGAAATGTCCTTACGTCCGTGAGACTCGATCACTTTTATTTATAATTATTTATGTGTATTCCACACATTTGTGTTTATTTCATTTCATTAAATGATGTTTTCACGTGGCCATGTTTGCTTCTTCTTCTTTTTACTTCCTTATTTTTGCTATCAAGTCCTGTTCTTTACGTTTTATTCAAATATTCCACCTTGAATTTTTTTTGTCTTTCTCGTATTAACCCATTTAAGACCCGATTATTTTTAAACTTATCCTGTAATTATAATTATTAAAGTGATTATAGTGGTAAACATATGAGTCACCAACATCATTATCTTCTTACAATACATTTTATAATGTTTTAAAATGGAAGCAAAAGCCGGCACAGACGGACATTCTCCCATGTGTTGTGTTTTTTTTCTCCTTCAAAATTTTCTGCTACCATAGGAAAAAATAATTGGCGGCTTTTATTTTATTATTATTTTATAATCAAATGCTACCATCCACGTGCGCCAACACGTGGCTCCTTTTCCTATACCGATGTCCTTGCCTTCCAATGGTCGCGCTCCTGCCCCCAAAACACCTTTCCTCCGGCACGTGTTTCAAGTGTGTGCGTGTTTTGCCCTCCGTAATTTTCATTTTGTGGTCAAATTGTGTAAAAGATCCCTAAATTTAAACATAAATTTCAGTTTTTTTAAAAACATATTTTCAATGCACGTTAAACCAGAAATGAAATGATAAAAGATTTATATTCAAACCTTCAAGTTTCTTAAATTTGATTTTTCGAAACTCCATACCTTACCTTTATAAAAATCAAATGGTCTCGTGTTGTATACAATTATATTTGCATAAATATTTTTATACAAAAGCATTAAAGGTGTATATGTCATGTGTTTACATTTCTTTTGTTGACAAATTACGTCAAATTATTCGACAAAAAATTTCAAAATAATAAACAAAGTTTACATAAGGAGAAATGATGAAAATATATTAAAAGTACTAAATTCGAAAAAAGGGCAAGCAATAGGAGATTTTCGAATTTGACCCTCTCTTTTACCCATTCCCTCTCTTTGCTTTCAGTCACGTGCGCAGCACGATCTATCGTTGGTCACCCTCAGTCCTCCTCGACGACGCCGTCAAGTCGTAACGCAAAAACACAGCCATCCAAAGTCTCGTATTATAATTTTTTTAAAGAACAAAATCCCGAAACCAACCTTCGTTAAACGGTCCAATAAATAGCGATACCCTTGAATTCCATGGGCAAGTGAGTCATTTCCTTTGCTGCCGAATAATATGCCATTGCCCGCACTTGGTATGAACAAAATTTGTACACTTTCCATTTATATCAAATCAAAATTATTAAAATATTTATTGGACGGAGGGATAAACGTAAAAACCTATAAAACTTAAAGTTAAATAATAGTAGATTATCTTGACTTAGAAACTCTCAATTTTATTTTTTCGTTTTTAAAAGGTCAAAATCTCGTGATACTATGCACGATTTTGGACCGTGCGATGTGAATATTAGAGACGTAATTGAAAAAAATATATGTTCTTTAAGGAAAAGTCGGTGTGGGACCACTAAAAACCAGCCTCCTTGACGGTTTAGAAATTAGATATATAATTACAAGAGCTGGTTCAGATACTATTACAGCTAAATTTTGATATTCCATCTTTTTCTTTAAATAAAAATCATTAATTTCATTCTTATCATATTTACTACTGATTATGTTATATTTGTTATTTTTATAAAATAAAAGGAATAACAAATTAACTATTTAATATAATGTCCACAAAAATCTCATTCTGACATTTCGATCAACAAATAGTGAGCTGGTGAAGCCAGCCGCCCCGGGTTGGGGGGCGCGTCTTCTCAAACGCGGCGGTCTGACAACTTAAGCTACAATGGTACCCTTGCAAAAAGTTGGGAGGCCAATATTAGGACAAGGAGTAGTTTGGGTAGACAGAAAGGCACATTTTCACTAATAAAAAACATAAGCAGCGTTGTTATTGATAACTAAAGGGATAATATTATGAGTATGACCAAAAAATCCAAGTTATTGCCTTCCTTGTAATTGACTGCTGCCCGTATGGTTTTAGTATTAGACCAAACTCTTGTTTCGTTTGTTTTCATGTTTGTCTTTTTTTTTCGGTTGAAATTTAAACCAAAAGAAAAAGATTGGTGTATTACTTGTATTCAATTTGTTATTATACGTCCGTCAATGCATACGTACCAATTTTTTTTGACTGTCCCTTTTTTCCATATGTATGAGTAAGGGGAGGTAAGATAGTAGGCTACCCCAACACCAGGTTGAGAACAGTTTCCGTAAAAGACCTCCGAATTATGAAATGCCCCCGTAAGACTCGATCTCACGACCTCAAGGTTAAGAACTTTATATCTATTTAAATTTGAATTTTCAATTCACAAGAACCTTAAATTATTCACTATTTTCAAATGATTCATTCAATCATTACAATGAAAATATAAATTATATTTAATTGTAATTTGAATTTTGTTTATCAGGCGGTTGCACTGATTTTAATGTTGGTTATTACCCATCGATTATTTTTTTTAAAGTTTTTTAAATAAAATAACTATCTTTATGACATGTTTTTACCGTTGTTTTTGTTTATCTTTTTTCTCACTGTTGAATTTGACATCATCGTGACTATCAAGATAACGTTTATTTGTTATTATGATGATATTCCTTGCTTTGTACTCTCGGATTGATTTGAATACGCGTTTTGCGTTCGTAGATAGTTTTCTTGACTCTGATTTGCGATTTTTCGGTGGTCTTTCAATAGCTTCATCTCTTTTTGTGATTCGTTTACTGATGCAGTCAAATTTATTCGTATCTTTATTTTATTCGAGTTTTTGGTTGGGTTTTTTAACATTTTCCTTCTTTGGTTCTTATGTGATATAGGTGGCTAGTTTTTGTCCCAATGATAATAGGAAAATATCATAATTATATTTTAGATATACAATTATACTTGTAAATATTCATTGTAATTTTAAATATTTTCAATTTTTAATAAAACTAACAACTTTCTATCAAAATAATAATAATGAGATGAATATAAATAAAAGAATTAAATTTAACTAATATCATCAATAAAAAAACTCTAATCATCGTATCAAATTAACTATGCATAAAATCTAACGTCAATATTTAAATTATTTTCAAATACTCTTGAAATTTTAGCATTTATCAGTTTCATAAATAACGTACAGATAAATAAGCTAAAATTTAATTCAAATGGATTGGAAGAACGAATCTATGTGTACATATATTACATTTTTACACTAAGTATTTAAATATTAGTTAAGGCGAAATTTTGGAATTGGATAAAAAATCATTATTATTTAATTACTTTAAAAGTAGACATAATAGGAAAAGTTTAAAATAGTAAAAGTATACAAATAATGGAAATTGTCGATATGCTTAGGGAATGAGTGATGATTATATACGAAGGCAATCAAAAAATGATTGTACGTAGCGCAGCCGCAGGCAATAAAAACTCCACTAACGGAAGCTGGCAGCAGAGAATTGACCAGCTAAGCCTCGTTCTTTGATCTACGACTGTTAAGGGGCTTTAGGTGAAACTCTCACGTGATGTATTAAGTATTAAGTAGATGTGATATTGGTTTTGTTATTAATTTTTAATAAAATTGATAAAAATTATCGGAAATATTATTATTAGGTGTTTTATCGGGTTTGATAATATATCTGATAAAAAAAATATTTTATGTAGCACTTTACCATATATATTACTAAGCTCGATAAAGCGTCTAATAACATTTCTGATAGAAATAATAATGTTTCTAATAATTTTTTAATATAAATATTAAAAAAATAATAACAAAACCTATAAAACATTTCCTTAATGTATATTAAAATTGTCGTACATAAAACTTCAAAATGATTACCCGAGCTTTAAATATATAAAAAAAGAATTCAATTTTAAAATAAAGAATTTTAATACATATAAATGATATGATGATATAGAATAACAATATCACAACAAAAGTATAACTGATGATTATTCCAACAACAAAAAACAAAGGAGAGAGAGAGAGAGACGGTGTTTTTCCATCATCTCCACATCATTATAACACTAGTCAACACGTGTCTACCGGCGCTTACCGGTTACCGGTTGTTCAATGTTCATTCCCTATATAGGCACCGTCACCTCCGCCCCTCCTCCTCACCACCACCCTACCCATTATATTTCTTACATAGTTCGTCTCCATAAGCAAACAAAACGAAAAATAAATAAATTTATTTCGTCAAATAAAAATTCAAATGTTTATTTACTTTGTTTGGGCAGAAAGCAAGTTTTAAGAGAGATAAAGAGGACATTTTAGATTTTGCTCGCAAAGCCAAAACCGAAGCTCCCTATCTCTCACTCTATTTGCACACAAAATCCAAAGGACAAATAAACAGCCAATAGAGAAGCAGAGAAAAAAATAAATAAAGAAACTCGATAACGCGAAGAACAGCAACACCAAATCAAAGGAACAAGTGAAAAAAAAGAGTGAGATAGTGAAATATTATTTTTTTTGACAAAAAGAGGTTCATTTCAATTATTTTTTCCTTGTGAATTTTCTCCTTATCCAATCAGTAAGTTCCTCGCAACGTTGGCGTTATTATTGTTATTCCTTTTTCTTAACCAGTCACTTCTTTGCTTTTGTTGTTATTCATTTTTATGTTTCTATTTTATTTATCGCTTTGTGTTTATATCCCGATTAATGTGATGAAATTATAAACAGATTTGATTAGCTATTTTTTCTTCTCTTCGTTTGAATCCGTCTGTTATTTTGTTCTTGTTTGCGTTCAATGAAATTCTGGGATCTGGTACTTATATTTCTTCACCTCTGTTTAATCGGGAATCGGTTTTTTCTTGTTTTAACAAAATTTGCATGTTAATTATTGTTTTTGACTTTTTATTTTTTTCATAACCGTACATAGACAATATTTTTTTATAAACCTGAATTTGGATCTTTAATTTACTGTATTAAATTATTGTTTGCTTTGTTTTATTGTTTTGAAATTTATACTGAAACTGTTCTTTTTCTTTTTCTCTCTGTTTTCTCGAATAGGAAGAATTTGTTCAATTTGATAGCGTGAAATAGAACTTGTGGATGTTACAGTGATTTGAAAATTCCCATTGTTGTTTTGGGGATTTTCCCGTCCGAAGTCGGGAGGGTGGCAAGAGAGTCATGTTGGAGAACTGGTGCTGCAAGTCCTGTTTAGTGTTTCCCAGTTCTTGTCAACGAGGAGGAAAGTGGGCTTACATGTACCATGGAAAGCGCCCAAGAGAATTCACCGATTCAGATGGTTGTCCGGAAACCAAGTTGTCTAAGCTCTCTTCCGATGATTCCTCCAGTGACGATAATAATAATAACACTTCTTCCCCACAAGACTCAGATGACCTTGTCTTTCCAGATTCGCCTGACCAATCCGATGGTGATGGTAAGAGATCCTGTTCTTCCTCGGATATGGATTCTTCACTTATCCACCACTGCCCCATTGCTCTAGGAAAACCGGACTTGGATAACCAATCAGACAATGATAGCCTGTCAGATTCCGTGGAAGAGTCGCTGGAGGAGCAATCTGAGGAAGATGGTGGTAGTGATAATAATGACATCTCTGATTCTCCTAAGGAGGATGATCACCACAGACTTGGTGGGGATTCTTCACCTGACTTGGATGCATTAACCCAACCAATTGGGCGAGATAATGATTATTACGACTTCTCTGATTCTCCGGAGGATGGTCACCACAGACATGCTGGGGATTCTTCATCCGACATGGATGCATTAATCCAACCAATTGGGAGAGATAACTCAATCAGTTGTCTGATTAAGTGCTCGAGGTCTGATTATGGTTCCATTGCCATGTTGAATCGAAGTTTTCGTTCCTTAATCAGGAGCGGAGAGATCTATAAGTTGAGGAGACAGAACGGTGTTGTTGAGCATTGGGTTTACTTTTCTTGTCACGTCCCTCAATGGGAAGCATTTGATCCTAGTAGACATAAGTGGATGCTTTTGCCAAGGATGCCTCACAATGAATGTTTCATTTTTTCAGATAAGGAATCACTGGCTGTGGGAACTGAGTTGCTTGTCTTTGGGAAGGAGGTAACTTCTCAGGTTATATATAGATATTGTATTTTAACAAATTCATGGACTTCTGGGACCAGTATGAATTCTCCAAGGTGGTTGTTTGGATCAGCTAGTCTTGGAGAGATTGCAATTTTAGCCGGTGGTTGTGATTCTCAGGGTAATATTCTAAACTCTGCAGAAATGTACAATTCTGAGACTCAGAAATGGGAGACTTTGCCAAGCATGAATAAGCCAAGGAAGATGTGTAGCGGGGTATTTATGGATAAGAAATTTTATGTGATCGGAGGAATTGGTGGGAAGGATGCACGGGCTCTCACTTGTGGCGAGGAGTATGATTTAGGGACAAAAAAGTGGACTGAAATTCCTAACATGTCTCCTGGAAGAAGTGGAGTTGCGGCAGAGATGCCTGCGGCAGCTGTGGCACCCCCTCTGGTTGCAGTAGTTAATAAGGAACTGTATGCTGCTGATCATGCTGACATGGAGGTTAAGAAGTATGATAAGGAAGCAAACTCATGGTTGACTATTGGAAGATTGCCTGAAAGAGCAGTTTCAATGAACGGTTGGGGTCTTGCGTTCAGAGCATGTGGAGATCGCCTTATAGTGATTGGTGGACCTAGGGCTTTGGGTGAAGGTTTTATTGAGCTCAATTCTTGGGTTCCCAATGAAGGGCCTCCAGAATGGAACTTGCTTGCCAGAAAGCAGTTGGGTAACTTTGTGTATAATTGTGCTGTGATGGGATGTTAGTAGATGGATTGTGGTGGCATCTTGTGCAGTTGAGCGATATTGCACTGCCACCAGGGTTTGCATGGTTGCTTTTTTCTTCAACAGAATTTTTACTAATGGTAATTTCCCCATCTTTTTTACATCTTTTCCCTATCGACTGGGAGATGTTGGGGAAGAGTTTCAGATAACTCAAGATTAAATAGAACATCTTATTGATAGGATGTCTTGAGTTTTTATTCCATTTTCAAACCTCATTAAAAATTTCCTCCATTAAATTTGTGTCTTCAGTGACTTGCAAAGGCTGGCGTCATGTAGCACAGGAGTATGTTTAATAATTTGAAGTACCAACACATTTTAGGTTGCCATTAGAGTTTGCTGAAGTTTTTTTAAGAACACAGAACTAGTCATATGGGTTCCTTCTTCCTTAAATTTTATTGGAATTGTCTTCAAGGGAGGAAATAAGTTCTGGAGGTGGTTGTCTTTAGATGTTGGCCGATGTACTGATTACATTGATCATTACAAATTGATGAACTGTATACTCCCAGAATTTTTCTTATGTACACACTGGAATCGTTTATTGTTTTTAGTTTCTTTTGTTCGGTTGGATGGTGCCTGTTTCTCCATTTGCTCGACATGCCAATTCATAAGTGGTTCTTATTGCCCATACTTTCCCTTTGTATTGAATTATTGTGTTGATGTCTCTCTTTTACTTTTAACTATGTCAGACACAATGGAATTGTTTATGTCTCATTTCTTAAGCAATATAGATCACAGAGGTAGAAGCTAGGCTTATGTTTCTATCTGGGGTGGGGATGCAAAAGAACATTACCTACAGAAGCTAGATTTCTCCCAGACTCTTTTATAAATATATTGAAAGCAGTAGTTTGACGCGTAATTTTGGAAACACGTCCTTGAGTAGAGAAGCTCGTGGTCATTAAAATCTTACTAGGCACTCTCTTATAGACATGGAAGAGGTACTGCATTGATTTGAATCTTCCAATGGATGTGATCGTCAATCATATGTTTGTTTTATTTGATTTGCTCAAATAAAGAGGAAAGTTGTGCTTCGACTTTGCCTTGCCCATGCACCCGTGTGTTTGGAGTTTCCAATGTTGTGCTACATTTATTATGGTTTTGGTGGACTTCTCCGTAGTGTGTCAAGCCTTATTAAGAAACTGTATATGAAAGGGATATATTGAATACTATTTACAATGGCTGATACATCATTATATAGTAAACACTGCTACTCTTTTAAGCTAACAGCCTCTCTAACTGACTAACAAATTTTGGCGCCAATGATAACTAACTATAGCTAGTTCTGTTATAATACATGCACGTTCATAGCAAGCTATAGCCTAACATTCTCCCTACTCTTTTCATTCTCTTCTTAAGCAACTCTACACCCCTGGCATCACACATATATTGTGACGAAATTCCTCAAATGCAGACTTTGAGAGAGGCTTTGTAAAACCATCTGCTATTTGAAGTGCAGCTGGTATGTAGTTGATTTTCAACAGACCTGCATCAACCTTCTCTCGAACGAAATGAATGTCAAGAACTGCAGCCACTACTCCTGTGTTGTCACACCAAACCACTGGCTCCCTCCGTTGTTGAACCCCTAGGTCTGCAAGCAAAGAGCTAGTCCATGTAACTTCAGCAGCTGCATCAGCAAGACACTTGTATTATGCCTCCGTCGTGGACCGAGACACCGTTTTCTGTTTCTTTGAGCACCACGCAACAAGACATTTCCCAACAAACACACCATGACCAGAAATTGATCGTCGATCATCTATGTTTGCTCCCCAATCTGCATCTGCAATAGCTGTCACAGACAATTCCGCCTCACTTGCTTGGAACATTAACCCATAATTCACAGTTCCAACTAAGTATCGAAGTATACGCTTGACTGCAAGCCAATGTGTTTCTCGTGGTGCATGCATGAATTGTGCCACCTTTCCAACACTGTAGGCCAAGTCAGGACGTGCATGGCACAAATAGAGCAAGGATCCAACTATGCTGCGATATTCACTCGCGTTTGACAACAGCTCCCCAACATCTTTTGACAATTTCGATGCCAGTATCATTGGTGTAGAACATGCAGCTGCACCTGTCATACTAGTTTTCTCAAGCAGCTTCACTACTTCTTGAATCTCACAAGACGAGCGTCCAGTGATGATTATGTCATCAACATATACCAATACATATATGTCACCAGCAACTCGTTTACAGACAAACAGAGACGAATATGCTCGAGATGCTGTAAAACCAATCTGCACGAGATTGTCCCTGAGCTTAACATGCCAGTTCCTAGGTGCCTGGCGTAAGCCATATAATGCCTTCTGAAGTTTGCAGACTAGAACAGATCCATCTTCGGCAAATAGCACAAACCCTGGTGGCTGTTGCATGTACACATCTTCAGTGAGGTCTCCATTGAGGAACACATTATTAATGTCAATGTGCCTCAACTCCCAGTCATTTGATATCGCTAGTGTCAACACAACATTAAGCATAGAAAACTTAACAACTGGGTTGAACGTATCAAGGAAATCATACCCTGGAACTTGTGAGTAGCCTTTTGCAACCAGTCGCGCCTTATAGCGATGTATGGAGCCATCTGGATTTCGTTTCAATTTGAACAATCACTTACACCCAGTTGGAGTATGCCCTTATGGTAATTTCACCAACCTCCACGTGCCGTTTCTTTGAAGAGCATCTACCTCAGCTTGAACTGCCTCCTTCCAATTAGTCGACTGCAACGCCTCTTGAATTGTGGAAGGTGTATCATTGTCGAAATGAGTGGAATATGCTTTAGGTTTAAAGACTCCACATTTGTTGCGTGTTTTCATTGGGTGATGATTCCCTCTAGTTGATAAAGTAGTTGATGTACTCGGTACATTATTGGTCAAGTCCAATTCTTCAATCACAGGACTGGTACTCGCATTATTCAAATTATTTGCACCAACTATATTATCACTTTCACAATTTACATCCGTTGAATCAATAGCACCCATATCATGAGTGCGCATCATGCCAAAAGGTGTGTCCCCATGTACATTATAATGCTCCACTCCAAACGGTGATTCACGAAGTCGTAACCGGTTTTCGTCCGGGCACGAATTTTTTACTTGGCGGGAAAAGTGATATGAATAAATGGTTTTTAAAATAATTTGGGAGTCGCCATCGGCCTTTTGGGTCAGGTAGGTCGAATACCTAAAAATCATCCTTTAAAAGAGTTTTTAAGAAAACATCAATTAAAAGATAAACTGATCTGCGTTTTAACAAGAAATTTGTTCTTTTTAATAATAAAAAGGGATCCGTGGTCGGTTACGTTTAGGGAAGGATTAGCACCCCTACAACGCCCAAAATTGGTACTTTTTAATTATAAATTGTCTTTATTATTAGAAATTTAAAAATTCAAAGATATTTTTAATTTATAATCCTATTTTATTTCAATTTATTACTATAATTTAAAAAAAAATATTAATATATATCTTTATTTTTATAAATAAGATATTTATTTACTTAGAAATATCAAAAAAGGGCTTCTAGTTGCTTTAAGAACCTTCCTTAATTAATATTAATAAATAAATAAATGTTAATAAAACATTTATCTAAAAATAATTAAAATATATTAATATATGATTTATAAAAATATGACATTTATTTATTTAAGAATATCAGAAAAGAACTTCTAGGTATTTTAAGACAGCTCTTTTCTTAGATATTAAAAAATAAATACATATCAAAATATGTTTATTTTTCTTAAAAGTAATTTATAAAATTAAATTTATAAATAGGATTTTTATTTAATAAACAAATAGAATAAATAAATATTATATATATTTATATAACTTAATAATAATAATAAAATAATCATGAAGATAATAATTTAAACATATATCAAAAGTAATAATAAAATAAAATAATAATAATTAAAATGAAAGAAATTAAAAGTAATAATATTAAAAACTATTGGATCATATTCATAAATATATGAACTTAAAATGTAAAAATAATAAAACTTATGGTTAAAATTAAGATTATATAAAATTTAATGATCAAATTATAAAATATAAATATTTAAGAGACATGGTTAGAAATATCATAAAATATAAATACTAGTAGTGTAATTAACCATTAATTATTTAATCGGTGATTAAAATAGAATTATTAAAATTATTAGGGACTAAATGTGATATTTACCTTAAATATATTATTTAATACTGGTAAGGACTAAAACATAATAAAATGAAATTTGAAGACCGAATTAGAACGTTCAGAAGTTAGCTTTAGTGACTAAAATGGAATGTTACAAAACTACGATGACTGCGGAAAGGGTTTGGTCAAAAGCAAAATTATAGATATACCCCTCCCCAAAATGGCGTCGTTTGGGAAGGGGTATATATTTACCCAAACGGCTGGCCCGAAGGGCCAGCATCCTCATTTCTCTCGTTTCTCTTCTCTCTCGGTTCTCTCTTCAATTCCCTCATCTGAGGGAATTCCGGCAGCCGTACTCCGGCGCCGACTACCACAGCCGGCCATCGTATCCGGTGGCCGAAAAAAAAAAAACCTCAAAGGATAGATCGGCACTACCCAAAACTGTTTCTGCCCTCTGTTTCCCTTAAAAGGTCCCGGATTTACGTAGATCTAAAAAACTACCTTCGATTTTTCGGTACTCCGGCGACGTTTGGTATTCACCAGCGAGGTAAGCTATTTTTTCTCTTTTTCTCGGCTGGTTGTTGTTGTTGTATATGTTGTTGTTTGCTCTCGTGTTTCTCTGTTTTCCAGGTTACCCTCTCTATTTTTTTGTTCTCTCTGGTTCTTCCTCTCCTTTCGTTTTGCAGGATCCGGTGGCTTTTATAGCCACCACAGAGCCATGCTCGGACCGGTCCAGAGGGGGAAGTTCGGTGAGTCACCGAGCTATGTGGTGACTCACCCCATAGTCGTGACGTGTGGGGGGCAGCTGGCTTATGGAGGCTTCTGGCGAGGCGGCAGCTTCGTGGCTGTAGCGGGTTCGAGCATCTGGCAGCTGACCG